ACACACACACACACACACACACACACACACACACACACACACACACAGTAACACAGAGCCTGCTAGGAAAGTGGAGACTAGATTCAATTCCTCCTCATTCTGCCACTAAGCTGCTGGTAGCTTTAAGGAAGTCAGTTTTGTCTTTGAGTCTGTTTGCTATCTGCAGAGTCTGCTGAGGCCCTTTCCATGGTACATGGAAAAAGTCCATGATGTATGTTCTTTCTATGGTACATGGCTCAGGATCTGCAAGCCGGTTATAGCAATCTTCTTGACTCTAAACCTGTAGCTGAGTGGTTTCATTCGGTCAGTTTAAGGACACTCTTAATTTATTCGTCTTAATTTATGCGCTGGGCACATCCCCTTTAGTGCATCTGCTGGCACTTCCTCTTGGTGACTGCTTCTCTTGTGTGCTGAGTGATTTATGAGACTTAAGTTTATTTCCACCAGAACTGTTTGTGGTGAGGTGGTTTGCCCATCTGGTGGTGGTATCCGTCCCTGGTCCCTGGGTTTTTATCTTTGGCTTTTGCTGAGAGGCCCAAGACTCGCACGTGTGTGTTTATGCTGATTTCTTGGTTTGGGTTAATGGGAACTAGAGTCACATCTGTGTTGCTTCAGGTCTTCTTGATTGCTGGGACAGCTCTTAACCCTCTGGAACACTGAACACACTATCAGTGGGCTGTGTCCCTCCCACATCCTTTAAGGCTCCAGGTACCCTAGCCTGGCAAAGAAACCCCTTGGGGTCAGGAGGAGTCTCTTGCCCTTTCTCTTGTGTCAACCCAGAAGAGTGTAGTCACAGAGTTTAAGAAGGTCAGACCCTGGGCACTAGCTACTGTTTCCCAAGAGAAGCTCTGATGTGCTCTCCTTGGCCAAGCAGGGGAACCCATGCTTTTCCTTTCACCTTCTCAGCACCAGCAGCCATGTTCTCCCTCCCTGAGGCTCCAGGAAGACAACTGGGATTGGAGACACACCTTGTGAGGCGCTGATCCCTTGGAAAGCTATATGCCGTGTCTGTGGTTGTCTGTGCCTTTGTGTTTCCATTCCCCTTCTCCTATTTGTTAGACTCAGACTTCTCTGTGATTTTATATTTGGACAAAACTGCAGTCTCTGGGCTTGCTCTGCTTTCTGCTTATGTTGTTATTTCAGGAACATCGAGAATAAATTTCTTCTCACCCCAAATACAGAACTGATGGCCAACCAGGTATGGACACCACCAAAGTGCATCTGGGTGAGCCAATGAGGTTTTCTTGCTTGTTGCTTGTTTTTGTTTTCTCACAGGAATATGGGCGAGGGGTTGCTTACAGAACCAGAAACAGCACAAAGAATGCCAGGAAACCAACAGCCTGCCCTAACATGGATGGCAGCCCACGGAAGTTGGGAACCTGGAGCCCACCGTACAGCCTGCGGACAGTTCAACAGTTTGGAGACTGTCTCTCCCGGCTAGCTCCGGTGATGTGAGCCTCTTCCAGGTAACTGCTGATCTCTGCCTCCCCCAGGCGGCTTGTCTGGTCTGAGCCTTTTCTAGGTAGCTCAGCTCTTCTGTGAATGCCTCTCTCAGTAGTCCTTACTGTCTGTCTATGCTTGCTGATAGTGGGGCGTAGAGCACCTAGTTGTCTCGCTCAGAGGAGTTCACTACTGTGAAGAGAAGCCACGGATAAGGCAGCTGACTGAGCAAGCCATCGGGAGCGCGGTAGGCTGTGTTCTTCCACGGCCTCTGCTTCAGTTCCTGCCTCCAGATTCCCGCCTTTTGAGTTCCTGGCCTGAGTTTTCCCAGGGAGGGAGTGTGACCTACAGGTTGGAATGTTTGATTTCCCCTTAGAACAGTCTGTGTCTTAAGAAGCTTCCCTCCAAGACGGAACGTTTTTATCTCGGAGGAGATTGGTACACGACAGCGTGAAGGCGTCGAGGACAGATCCACCCAGCATAAGAAACGAGTACTGCCCCCCTGTGCTCGTCTGTTGTCGGCACACTCCGAATGAGCTTTTCTGGGAGAGGGCTGGTGGAGGTCCAGGCGTCAGGTGTTGTGTTTGTAACCGCTGTTCCTGGTGTTGTTCTGCGGGAGGACATCGCCCCCTGGTGCTCATGAGGTGTGTGTGCAGAACAATACACTGCAAATGAACAAGCACAGACTTGCTGTTATTGTAGAAGTGCTTTGGCACCTGTCTCAGAGGCATGCGGGTAACTTCCGCTATCTGTGGGTAACCTCAGTCCAGCTAGCTAGCTAAAGGGACGCTCCCCTTTTGTTTATTTTCTAAAGATTTCCACATCTCTTCTACCCACACGTTTGACCTGACTTGACTCTGGGTTCCTCCCCAAGAGACAGACCACATAGCAAGGGGGAAATGAGTGTGTGAACTTGGGGGATGACAGTTATCTTGAGTACCATGAACTTAACTTCTTTTTTAAACAAAATTAAGATTTACTTACTTTGATTTTATGTCCATGAGTATTTTTCCTGCGTTGGATCCCCTGGAACTGGGGCTACAGAGGGTTGTTATCCGCTGTGTGGGTGTGACTTCATCTCACAGGGTGCACATTTTAATGAATATTTACGCACATTTTTTTAGCAATATGCTGGCGAGATACTTCTGTCTCAGTGGGAAGCTTGCACATCAGAGGTCTGGGAGTCTCCTGCCGTGCTGCTGTGCTTTGCAGACTCAGTAATCCTTAAAGGATTTACAGAGGGGCATCGGAACTTTAGGAAAAGTGTGAGCTTGGCTGAAGCATACAAACCCACCCAAGAACTGACAGAACACAGAGGAAAATGTTTTAATACTGAACATTTTGAAACTGAAAAGGGCAGGAGAGGTTCCACAATCAGCCTCTTGGGTGGACAGTCAAGAGGGCAGAATTCAAATTCAGCTCTTCACTCCTCTCTGTATCTCAGCTGGAAACAAGCGAATAATTTCCCACTATTCCCAGGGGCAGAGACACTTGGAGCTCTTTAGGTGGGCCTACTGTGTGCATGAGCCCTTGACTGGATACTTTCAGGAGAGAACATGTCATTTTTCATAGAAGATATAGCTCACTGATGATGTGCTGTGGTGAATGGATACATGATTGCTAAGGAATCGGCGGAGGGATTTCCATGTTGCAGAGAATTAAATCATATATTAAAATGGAGAGGAACCCCGAGTATTGCCAGGTGTGTCAATCATGCCCTCTGCCAGACGCCCCATGAAAGCCATCCTGGAACTGAAATTCATGTCACAGATGTTTCTAGATGCCTTTTTCCAGTTAACTTGATGACACAATCTTTCATCACATCAACCCTGCTCCTAGCTTTGAAAACAAGTGAAAACTAATGAGACAGGACATGATGTTTTCTGTTTGGCTTTAGTTTTAGGGAGAAAGTAACACTCAAATATGGGCCTATTTTGACTTTTACGTTTTTCCCTCCTAGAAAAATATTCTTGTTGGACCATGGGGTGTGTCTGTGTATGTGTCTTTGTATTTGTACTCACACTTGTGATGGGAAGGAATTAAGGCCGAGTCCTGTTCACAGAAAAAATAAAGGCTTTTATTTTTGGTAACATAGAAAACTAAGCCACAATAATTGGCTTATCCAAGCAACAGTCCCTTTCAGTGTCTAATTTATGATGACCTCAAAAGTAGACATCTGTTGGCTAGAAGAAACCAGCTAGTCCCTGGGACATTGGAGCCCTCTTCAGTGTTTCTTGATTTATTTCTAGTTTTCCATCACCCTTTTGCCCTTTCATGAGAAGTCTGTAAGTTAAAATATTATCCGAAGAGTTGTTGACACTCCTCTAAAGTCTGAAAGTGGTCTGGGAAAAGTAAATCCTAACTGTGAGGCAGACACAGAACAGGTACTTGCTGTGAGTCCTGCAGTTCCTCTCAGTTGCCCTGGGAGATGACACAGTCATCCAAGCAGAGCTCAGGAGTCTCCAATGCACTGGCTGAACAGGACCATCTGTGTATTTTCAGAGTCTAAGATACAAAACTGAAAACAAGACACAGGGACAGCAAAGTCTTCCAGTTCACAAATTGGAAAACCTCTGCCAACTTCAGGCTAAATGCAGTTCACCACAAGGCTCTTGCTCTCCAACCCAACTGTTTTCACACAGAGAGATTCAGGTGAAGACAACCAGTTTGCTTGGAGATAAGTGCTCCCATTACGGCTAAGAACCAGGGCTGCGTTGTGCTCAATGAGTTGAAAGTCTTTCTTTCCCTACCTTGTTCCCCCAGATCCTTTAATTCCTAATGCAGAGACATACACGAAACCACAGAGCTAGAAAACCTCCTTTTTGTTGCAGCTGGGACTTTACTTTTTAGGAAGGCAGAGGTGGAGGAGAAAGGAGTGAAGAGGGAGCTTGAACCTGGGCTTGGAGATGAGAGTAATGGTCTCTTTAGGGAAGGCTTAAGCTGGATTTGGATCCTGTACCCCAGCAGGAGTGACTCTAGCTCTTGGAAAAGGGAGAAGCACCTTTCTTCCTATTTCATATTCACTCTTCTTAAACCTCAGTTTGCCGTAGATGGCCATGGCAATTAAAAGCCCTAGTGCCAGGATAACCCCAATTGTGATGCCAGCAGCTGCACCTGCTGATAGGCTACTACTGTCCAGTTTCGACGAGTCCTCCAGCCTCCACTGCTGGGTGTAGGAGTCCTTAACCCAGGGTCTGGCACCCTCTCCGCTTGTCATTACAATGGAGTTGTTGGCAACCTGACTCATAATAGGTAGCTGAGTGTAAGGTGGGAGCCTGACGGGGGCCAAGGATGATTTTGCAAAGACCCCAGCCTTGACACAATAGGACACTTGGCATCCATCGATGATAGCGGCCAGCTGTTGGCTGAAGCCCCCAGGACACTTTCGCAGAAATGACTCCTCTAAGATTCCAGACGTGATAGAATTATATAAGGGGTTCCCCATTGTACAGCTGAAGAACCCACCAAAGGGGATTGAAAATTTGGGCCCCACCTCATGATCCAGAGAAACACATACCTTGAGGTTTTCAAACAGGTTCAGTGGAAAGTAACTGGCCGGGCATGACTGTTCATTTGTCACAGGGTTGATGCTCTTGTCAGTGAAGACTCCCCCAAAGAGAAGTCCTGAGTTTTCAGGTACTTGGCCAGTGGCCGCACACCAATAAGCCCTAAATTCAGCTTTGGCCACTCGGAACACATCTTCACACACTGTCTTACAGAAGATCTTGAGGGTGCATTTCTGTTTACACTCCTTGTCATGGTAACCTTCTTCATGGGTCTGAGACAGCAGATGGACAGAGGTGTAGCCAGAGGGACAAGAATAATCACCACTGAGTGGATTCTTCTGCTCCAAATTTGAGCAGAGGGAAAGGTTATTGTGCCCTGAGTATTGAGAACACACTTGATAAACCCCTCCAAAGGGAGAGATAGCCATTTTACCATCACAGGAGCCATCGTCCATATTGGCTTGAAAATCGAAGTTGGGGGAATCGACATTTGTGCAGCCCGGGTATGTGTTAAAGTTGTAATAACTTTTCACAGCAGTTTCCACTGTCTTGGACAGCTTCTCCAGCACATGCTGTGGAAAATCAGGCAGCTTGTCAGGCTTGATGAAGAAGTGCAGAGGCAGGCCAACGCGGTCTATTGCCACCAGGTGGTTAATGATGCCCTTCTGCCAGGTTTCTAAGGTGATGCCTGGGTAGAACGGAGTGCCTCCAATGCTCTGCACCCTGGAGTTGGTTCTGTTAGCAAGGTAGCCTGTGGCCAAGGTATTCTTGTAGGCAAAGTCCATCTCGGTGTTGAAGTTCACCATCTTTGCAAAGGTCAGTCCAGCAGATGCAGTCACGGCCACACGGGTCCCCTCACCGTTCTTAAGGAAGGAGGAGCTGATGTGATCCTCCTGAACCAGCACAGCCCCAGCATCCACACTAGTGATTACGTGTGTGCCGTAGTTGAGGACCAAGAGTTCTGCCAGGTAGTTGGCCGTCTTTATCTCGTTTTTCTCTAGACGGTCACAGATTTCCATGAGCTCTTTCTTAAACCCTAAGCTGAGCTCTGCGCTTGGGTTATTTTTCACCGTGTAGATCAGGTTTCTCACCTGAACTCTTGTAGTTACAGTCCTGTCCTTCACCTGATTGGTCTTCACTCTTTGGAACTCAGTCGAGAACTTGCCGTTGACCTTGAGATTATAATCAAAATTCATGTTGATGGAAAACGAGGTGATGCTGCGGTAATTCTCCCAGGAATCCAGGATCTCCGAGTTCATATCCACGTTGCTCTCCTTCTGAGGAACAGTGAAGACCTCATCGGGGATGAGGTACATTCCGTCTTCAGTGGTCTTACAGTTGGTGTACGTCAGTTCCATCACCCGTCCCATGTCTATATTCCTCAGGTTATCCCAGCCACCTCCAGGTAGCACTTCCAAAACAGGCAGATGTAAAGCATCCTGGCACTTTCGAAAACCGGCATCAGGGATCTCTTCAAGAGACTTGTCTGTTTCAGCAAACACCATTGTGGTCCAGATGAGGATCGTGACAATGAAGCTGTTCATGGTGCTGACCATCCCAGCCACCAGAGAGCTTGAAGCAAACAGGAGGATGGGAAAGAAATCAGTTGCTTGAACAGAAAATTTAGCAATTCTCCCAAAACCATAACTTTCTCTCTGACTCTGCTAACTGAAAAACAGGCAAATGAGAGTTGGTTGGAGTATTTAAGACTGCTAGGTCATGCAATAAATTATAGTATACTACATATGTGAACATAGACTCTTCATAACCCACTGCCCTTTTTTCTTTACCCCAGCTGCTTACTGTGCAGCAGTAATGGGTCCTCAGAATAAGCAGATCCCACATTTTGCCTGTTCCCTACCTGAAGAGCCTACAAAAAGCTTTGGCTTTATCTTCACTCTCTTAGACTTGGTCCAGTCTTGGCTCTCTGTTCTGTTCTCTTATCGGTCTCCAGTGCCGATTCTTTGGCTGAACATGCAGAGGTAGGTAGCAATGTTTGCCCTTCTTGGCATGCTTTTATCTCCACCAGATGCAGGGTATTTCTACCTCATGGACAAGCCTTAGATTTCTCATTGGCTTACTGAGGGTGGAGGCTGTCCTCTCAGAAAAAAAAAAAAAAAAAGGAAGCGGAGAAGGCACTCCTGCGCGTTTTATGATGTCTCATTGCTACAAGCCCCCGTGGCCCGGAGATGATATCATCTGGGGCTGAGATTAAGAACGAAGACAATTCTGTTTGCAGTAGGCTGGGACACCAGACTGTCTTGTCCTAAGCATTCATGTGAGATGGAGGGACCTTATACAGCTACTGTTTCTTTCCATATATAAATAGTCATGAAGAAGACAAAAGCCACTGCATGATCTCAATTTTAATTTATCAGAAAACTATAGTGACCAAGGACACCATCTAAATCTGCGCACCAGGGTAGTAAGTTGACTCTCACCAGGCACCTTCCTGTTTTCCCCTTCCACCAATAATTTCCTTTGCTCTCTCTTGCTGAGTTACATGTACGAGCGCATATTCTTTCAGGCTGTTCATCATAGGTGAGTAAATGCCCGGGGTTAAACACTAAGCTCTGGCCTCAAGCAGAGGGAAACAGTTCTTCCCCAAAAGGTGTGCAGCTGAGATGCTAAAAGGCACTTCCACTTCCTCTAACAAGCTGGAAGTGACATCCGCTGGACCACGTACAAGCTTTTCACACTGTATCACAAGGATCCATGATTCATGTGTCACGGTTATCCTGTGCAGGCTTGAAACTGGATCAGATATTTCCAATCCTTGTATTTCGCCATCCGTGTGGAGTGGTTGCATGGGCCAGGATCATCCCACGTTATGTGTTCTGCAGAAACCTAAGAGGCCCATCTGAATCCTAATACACAAAGAGAGCTAGGACATCTGCAGGGTAAACTCCAATCTAGACTATGGAGGAAGTAATATCGAGACAGTGATATTTTTCTCTTCTCCATGGCTGATTCTAACTTGATGGTCTCACTTCCTAGTCCACTCCTTTCCCTCAGAGGGAGTTCTCCCACCATGAATGTCTGTCTACTAAAAAAAGAACCCAGTGGGTTTGCGATCTCTTTTATTATGGGGGTTGGAAAGAGAAAGCCAATGGGAAGTGCTTCTGTGTGGTAATAGCAAAAGCTTGGTCAACTTCCAGAAGATGACAGATGTCATCGTTATTGAATAAACTTGGGAGAGTTGGGTGGCAGTTGTCAAGAAAGGTAATGGTGAGGAACCCCTAGTTTAATTTCAAGGTAAAGTCGGAAAGTTAGAAAGCACAAAGTGAAGAACCTAGTCTGTCCTGGATGGAAAGCTCTCCTTCCTCCTAAGAGTGTAACCAGAGCTATGGCCTAAGATAGAGGGCCTCAGAGGATTGATAGTATGCCCCCAACAACAGACATCTTAAAGAGAAAGGAACAGAAAGAAAGGTTGCACCTGACAATAGAGAAGATGCAGAGCCCTTCTTTGCTCAGCCCTCTACCAAATTAACAGCAAGATACCATCTTTAAAAGACCTCTGCCGAGTCATGGCATGATAGCCTCAGACTATATGTAAACCCATACTCTTGGGAAACACAGAATAAGTTTTACCAGAGTTATAAGCCAAAATGTAGCCAGTAGAATTACTCTAGACCACAGGAAGGAATTTTTCCGTCAGAACTGCACAGTACTCAGCCAAGTGGAAGCCTGCAGTGTAACATATTCACCCTCTAATCATCAGGATGCCGGACATCAGGCAGCTGCCTAGGGCCAGGGTCAGCATTTTCAAGATGACAGTGAAGATAAGACCAGAATCTATAATCTGGCCTTGCACAGGACCAGAGGAAGAGGAAGAACAGCATTCGGAACCTGACCCCTGAAAAATAACCTAGAGGTATGACCAACAGTGAGGTGTGACTTAGGTCTATGAAGGCCTTCAGACTGATGGAGTCAATCTCTGTGGTGTGACCAGAGTTGGGGCCAGCATCCGCAAGGAGACTTCTGAATAGCATCCACAAACTGTCCAAAGGGATGACCATCATCTGTGAGATGATCCATGAAAGACTGTTCAACGATGGGATCTAACCCTGCAAAGGTCTGCTCAAGGAGGTGATCTGAAACTCCAGAAAAGAATGCTGAAAGTCAAGGCTAGGACACTGGGTTTTATATAACTTGAATATTGCTCAATGATTGCTACATCCAAGTAGAAACCGATTTGTCCTAAACTCTTGTTATCTGGTGGTTTTCATGTTTTAATTGGCACATAGTAACTGCATTTTTATGAGATACAATACGATAATTTGATGCATACACATAATTTGTAATGATTAAAATAGGGTATTAAATATTTCATCCTTTCAAAATATATTATTGTTTTGTGTAGGGGGATTTCAATAAAAGGGAACAAGAGGTTACAATTACACATATGCTATACGGAACTAGAACTTCCTTCTATGTGACTTATTATATGACCTCCTCTATCTTTCTCTCTTCCTTCCCTATTTTCTAATAACCTCTAATAAAGAAATAGTAGCCTCTATTTGGGTTCTTTGCAAAAGCAGCAGGTCCTGTTAACCCCTGAGCTATCTATCCAGTCCTCAATTTTCTTAACAAAGAAATTTGTGTATGTTTTATAGAATTGAAACTCAAGTTTTTAAAAAGCTGTGTATAACGCCTGACACATCATGATTGTCAAATAAGTGTTTGTTCCCTTCTGTTAGTTTCACATCTCTAAATTACTTACCAGGTAAGCTTAGATTTATTTATTTATTAAAAAGATACTTATTAAGTACATAGTTTGGGGAAGGATGTGCCCAGTGCTTTGAAGGAAGAGTAAAGAAGAGCTTAGGCATGGATTCTAACAGCTTAGGAAAAGGCAATCAGGAAAAAAAATAGTGTCAGATGGAGAGAGATAGTTCCTTTAGTATTTTATATAAAAACATATTTCTGTAGTGATTGCCAGGTCTGTATGACTCTAGGATCAAGGAAGGCTTGACAAAGGAATATACTGCTTAAATCATCTCTTCCCATAGACATTACCAATAATTCAGCTAGTCATAGAAATGATGAGGTGAGGACACAGTAAAACAATGTGATTCAGAGCTGGTTGTTGTAACTCGCCATGGTTTATATGCACAATCATTAAAGAGACATGACTTCATTTACCGTTTACTCGAGAATCATCTTGGAAAATACAGTTAAAAATTATTTTAGTGGCAAATTGCATTCTCCAGCTAACTCTCTGATGTGGATATCTTATCTTGGATCATGTTCTGGAATGAGGACAACACTGGGGAGGTAACACTTCTTACAGAATGCATGGAAATTGAGGCCAGGCTATCAGAACACTATGAAAGCCTGATGTCAAGGTTCAAAGAAAACTGCATACAGGACACAAACTAACAGTCATTGAAGGTCAAGAGATAAAACTGATCTGGTAAACAGATATGAAATCAGAATGTCTCGGGGAAGTTTTTCTTTTCCGGATGGTCATACCTCGTCAAGAGGAGATTTCAGGCCTGACCTCATGCCATTCTATTTACAGGTGTGTCCAAACTTCTGATATTGTAACATGGCACCATCTACAAAATTTATGATTGAGAATACAATTGATTTCTTTTATCTAAAAAAAATATCAGTAGTGTTTAAGTAAATTTGCAATTTTGCATTGGGTCACATTTATTACTATCTTTGGCTGCAGGTGACTCCTGGACTGAGTTGAAAACCCAAATGTAGGGTCTCTCATACGTTCTGTCCCTGCTTTTTTCCTCATCGTGACTTTATAGATATAAAAGCCGGGGATCTTGGTGCCTTGTATCTGGCCTCCTTGGACTTTATGACAGCACACCATTATCCTCAACTCTTCCTAAACATAGTTTACAGGTACCCCACTACTCTACTCCCTCTGCATAATCATTGTTGAAATCATGTCAGTGGGTTCCTAATCCAAAGTTAATATATCTAACTGACACCACCCATTGAACAAATAGTAATCCAAGACAAGGGGACAGACAATATAAGCCAAGAGGTAGGAGAATTGGCAAGAACCATTCTTTACTGTAATAAAGACATCAATGAACGGCATGTCCCTATGACTAGGCTTTGGCTCGTGTTCTTTTTTTATTTTTATTTTTTTAATATTAGTTGCAGTTTGTTAACTTTGTATCCCTGCTGTATCCCGCTCCCTCTCTCCCTCCCGATCCCACCATCCCACCCTCATCTCCTCCCTGCCCCTTTCCAAGTCCACTGACAGGGGAGAACCTCCTCCCCTTCCATCTGATAGTGGTTTATCAGGTGTCTTCAGGACTGGCTGCAAAGTCCTCCTCTGTGGCCTAGCAGGGCTGCTCCTCCCTAGGGGGTGGGAGGTCAAAGAGCTCACCATAGAGTTCATATCAGAAACAGTCCCTGTTCCCCTTATTAGAGTACCCACTTGGATACTAATCTACCAAGGTCTACATCGGAGCAGAGCTCTAGGTTGCATCCATACATGGTCCTTGTTTTCAGCTGACACCCACCAGAATGGCTAAGATCAAAAGCTCAAGTGACAACACATGCTGGAGAGGTT